TCCCAGGCCACGCCCATCCCAGGCCACGCCCATCCCAGGCCACGCCCGATCCCAGGCCACGCCCGATCCCAGGCCACGCCCGCCGGGCGCAGCGCCCCCGCCCCTGACTCGCTGGTGTCCGCGTGGAGCTTGAGGACACTGGCCGGCGGTGAGGACGAGGCCCGGCGCGGTGGGGCGCGGCCGCGGGGGCTCTCCTCTCTGCCCGAGGCTTGCTGCTGGCCCTGCTGGCGTGCCCAAGGCCAGCTGGGGACGGACACCTGCCTGTGGCCGGGAGAGGCGGGGAGGGAGGCGGTGCGCGGGCAGCTCCAGCCAGGGCCAGGGACGCAGGCTCCGGAGCCCTAGGGGGCGCAGGCGGCGTGGGGGGCCGGGGGCGCTGCCTCCAGGGTGGAGGGGGCTTCTGACGCAGAGGCCCAGCTTCGGGGACTCCGGCAGCTGCTGCTTAACCGCGAGGGCGCTGCCGCCGGGCGCGGGCGGAGCGGGCCCTGCGGGGTTCCGGCTCCCCCGTTTCGATCATTTCGGCCAAGACACAACAGAGGCTTCCTTTCCCATGAACACACGGAAAGGGCCCAACGACCGCGGGTAAAGCACCCCTCGCGGCCGCCGCCTCGGGGTGGGGGGCGCGCCCAGAAACGCCCCCCCGGCGGCCCCGCGCGGCCTCCAGGTCTCACCGTCGCGGGGCTCCCGTGACGACCCCAACTCGGTACCCCGTTCTCGGGACTTCCAGGGAGGGGCCTTTCCACCGCCCCGGTAACTCCAGGGGGACGGCGTCACCGCCGTCGCTCCACTGCCGGCCAGGGCTGCGGTGTGGCAGGTTGGCCACTGCTAGAGCCGCGCTCAGCCGGGGAGCGGAGGCCCCGGGCGGGCAGCCTGGAGGATCCCCGGGCCACGGAGGGCCCCGGGCCGGCAGCCTGGAGGATCCCCGGGCCGCAAGGCTGCCGCCCGAGGGGCTCCCGGCTCTCCCTCAGCACTCACCACGCGGCCACTCGCTGGGTCCCTGCCGGGCTGCAGCCTGGGCGGGGGTGGGGCTGGGGGGCAGTGAGGAGGAGCACGCACGCCCCCTCTCCGCTCCAGAAGCCCCTCGACGCCCTGCACCCAGGACGACTGGCCAAATCTGGGCCACACGCACAGCCCTGGGCCGACGCTTGCAGCCTACACCAGCCCCGAGAACCAAGCCCCCCGCCTCTGTCCCCCCAGGTCACCCTGGGGGCCGCAGGGAGGCCACTGCTGGGGACAGAGCCAGCAGGTGAACCTTACCCCCCCCCCAGTGAAAGCGGGGCTAGGAGGCGGCACCCCTGGGCCTTCACGGCCCCCTGGCTTTCATCCTAACCCTTTCCCGGTGCTGGGCGACTCTCCCGTGGATCACGCCACGCCGCAGGCCACAGCAACCACCACAGATACCCACTGGGCTGGCCACGGCGGCCCTCAGCCAAGAGGGCTGCGAGGCAAGGCCCGTGCGCCCCGTCACGAGGGGCCATTCAGGCCGCCGCCCGGGAGGGCGGGGGCCCCTGCGCGCGCCTGCCCCAGACCCGGCCTGGCTCTCGTGAGGACCTGCCCCTGCTGTGGCTGCCACGCGGCTGCTGCGGGGACGCCTGGCTGGCCGTCCGGCCGGCACCATGGAGCGGCGCACTCACACGCCCTGTCGGGAGCGCTGCGCCTTCTGGAACAGTCTGCACAGAGGGACGCAGCCGGCGTGGCCGCCTGGGCCGGGCGAGGTGGGCAGGTGGCAGGGAGGGCTCGGGCGCGCCCATCCTCCTGGACACGGGGGACACGGAGCCACCTGAACAAACAGCGACCCACCCACGGGCCGGCGGTGGCATCTGGGGCGGGGGGGGGGTGCCCGGTGGAGCCAGCACGTCATCGGTCACAGCTGCGGCCCAGCCCGCCCCAGCGATTGGGACCGGGCTCACTGCCGTGGCCCCTCGGCTGCCACTCTCGTGGCACAGGGGTGTCCCGCAGCGGCCGTGGGGCTGGCCCAGCGAGGCGGGTCACCCGGACTCCAGCGCCTGCGGCTCTGACTCACCGGCCAGCAGACGCCCCGAGGAGGCCGTCTGGACGGGCTGTGCTCAGGAGGGGCCAGCCACGGAGACACGAGACAGCCACTGGGAGGGGAGAGGAGGCGTGGACGCCAGCGGTCCGAGTGGACGCTGTGGCCGGCCTGTGCCCCCGCGTCCACCTGCAAGTGGGATGAGGGCACAGCAGTCCTGCCACGCGGAGATGCGGGGGCGGGGGCGGCCGTGCTAGGTGGGCAGCGGAGGGGAGGTGGGCGCGCGTGGGGCCACCTCTGCCCCGGCCAAAGCAACAGCTTGGTCTGGCCCGCGCCAGCCCAGCAGGCAGCCCGCCGGCCCCTCTGGCCCGCCCCCGCGGCCCCGCTCCGCCCTGCCCGCCGCCAGTGCCAGCCTGAGGCTGTCTCAGGGGCCTCAGCGGGGGGCAGCAGGCCAAGGCCAGGGCTGGGAGTCAGGGTCCCGACCTCGGTGCTGACCGCGGGTGGCCTGCAGGCCAGTCCCCCTCCGCCTCCTCCTTGCACACGCAAGGCCGCGCCCTCCTTTTCCGGCAGGCTTCCAGGGCTTGTACGGGCTGCCCGAAGGGCCGGGCAGGGCGCCTGGGGGCGGGCCCTCACCCCTGCCCGCGGAGCCACGGCTGGGGCCGGGCTTCAGCCCGCCCTCTCCTGGCAGCCGGACACGCGGCCTGCAGGCGCCTCCTGACAGTAAACACTGTGCTTCTCGGGGACGGGCAGTGTCCGACTTGCGGCGGCCGAGAGCGGCCTGCGCCCTCCCACAAACGAGCCTGCGGGCTGTGGCCGCACCAAGGCGGCCACCGACGGTGTCCCGGGGGGGTCCGCCGCGCCACGGCCACCCCCCGGATGGCCCGGCGCCTCGGCCGAAGTGCCTGGACAGGTACCTGGGGGCCTGCCAGAGTCTGCCCGACGCCCTCGCCAGTGCCACGCGCCCACGGCCACAGCGCAGAGCAGACCTGGCGTGTGCTGGGCGACGCTGGGCCCGGCTTTCCAAGCCTGCACCTGGAGCGTCACCTTGCCATTGCTACACAGGCCCGTGGGGGTGTCACGAACGTGGCCCTGCACCCAGGGGTCAATCTGTGGGGAACGGGTCCTCTTCACAGCTCGGACTCGCGTCCGGGAACAGCTGAGGGTGCAGCCCCCAGGCTGCCCTGGGAGGACGCCACTGCGCACTCGCGGCAGCCACGCCTCGCCCCGGAGGCCGCCCGAGGCCAGGCCAGCGGGCGGGGGGCCGGCGAGTGCCACAGCCCGGCGTCTGGGCCGGCTGCCTCTGTGCTGTGTTCCCCGAAGGCGGCAGTGGGGGGGAGGGAGCTCCACGGGGATCCGCGAGGGCACGGACCCCACTCCTCCAGCGCCACCACCACGTCCCGACCACCGCCCCCAGGCCCCTTCTCCCGGCTACACCACACCGGACCGCACTTTCACGCGGGCCTCGACACTGGGCGAGCACTCCCCCGGCCACGTCTCGGAGCCCCGGGGGCCACGGCAGCGGGTTTGCGCCTGTCAGCTCCCAGCCACGCGCCCCTGTAACGGGATGTGCTGTCGGCGATTCTCTTACTTCGCTGCTCTCGTGCTGGGACGTAGAAGTAGGATTGACTTTCCCCTGTTGGTTCTGTGACCTCTTAGAACCGCTTTTGAGTCTGGCAGAGGCGCCTGACGTCTTCACACGTACGAACGTGGTCGCCGGTGAATGATGCACTTTTGTTTCTTCCCTCCCCTGCTGGGCCTCAGGCCCTGGGCATCTGCGAGCTGACGAGCCGACGTGCTTGCGCTCCCGGCCTCACGGGGAAGTGCTGGGTCGCCGAGTCTGGCCGGGCTCCCACGCGTCCTCCTCTTTGAAAAATCAGCGGCCACATCACCGCCGAGGTTCTTTCTCTTTTTGTGACATTAGGGCGTGTGGGGTTTTTGACGAGTGCAAAGAACACATCCTCAAGGTTACGGGAGGGCTGTTTCAGCCTGGGAGTGTGAACCAAACGACGGGCCGTGGGGTGTTAGCCAACCTTGCCTTCCAGGAACGCACTCACCAGTGCGGCCATCTCACCGCTGCTGGAGCCATGTAGCCTGTTGCCTCGCCGGGACTGAGCGCGCTGAGGGTGACGCTGGACCGTCCCCCCCCCCCCCCC